ATGGCCTCTAAGAGCGCTCCAGGCTCATCTTGTATATTCCCTACTCCGGCCTAGAATGAGCTATTTCTCTAAGGAGCTTGGTTCCTTCTAATGCCTTTAGAAAATGGTATTAGAAACCAAGATCTGGGTGTTTGCTTCTGGGCAGTCTTACCTGACAGGGCAAGGCATATAGGCATATACCAACCTGAATATATATACACATATCTCTAAACAGTTCCATATTTAACCATGTGTATGGTTTTATATTAAAAAACGAGTACATGCTGATGTTTCCAACCCTAATCCACCAGTGTCACATGAACCACTTTAGTCTTCCATGCTGGCCTGTCTACAGCCACCTACTCCAAGAGTGAGAAACCTGGTTCCTCCCATCTTTTTCATTATGTGTATGTATCTCACACTGGTTCACTTTCTTTTAATTTGAGGTTTCAAAATGTCTAGATGAAATATAAATCAAACTATTTAAAAATGTTGACTATGCTTTTTCAAACTCTGTTCAATTCTTTGCTATTTAGATTCCTACCAAGGGGTCAAACTTCCAGCACACACCATCTTTAAAACCATTAGCATCACTCATCAGTAGCAACAAATGCTTATTAAGTCCCTTATCTTATTACGGTCCTAAGCTATGCTGGTTCATGTACATAGCATTCAGAAAAGTCTTGAGGTGTGGTCTACCACTAACACAAGATAGCTTTATATTACTCTCATACATGTACATCTACATTCATTTTCTGGATTCCATACCTTTTAGAATTGAGAATAATGGTTTATTGAAACTACTGTAACACACTTCCTAGCTTTCAAATAAATTAGTACTTTTCAAGTTCCAGTTCTGTGGTTACTAGCATTAGTAAGAGGGAAAGAAGGTTAAGTGATGTCTGTTACATAGTAAGTGCTCAGTAAACATTATTTTTCTCCACTAGAATACCTACTATTCATCTCAAACTCAACATGTCCAAAACTGAATTCCAAATCTCTCTCTATAAAACCCATTCCCATTCATAGCCTTCCCCATCCCAGCAAGCCCATCACTGGGCACTAATGTCAGTGCCATCCTTGACTTCTCTGTATCTCTTACCCTGAACATCTGATCTGTCAGGTAACTCTGACAATTCTACCTGCAGAACACATCCAGGAAGAGACAGCTTCTGATCCTCTCTGGTGCCACGACTGTGGTCCGAGTCTCCCTCTCTGTCTAGGTTCTTGAGCAAGCCACCAACAGGTGTCTCCACATCTGCCTTTGGTCCAGAGTAATCCTGGAAAAATAGATCAGATCATGCTCAAAAGTCTATAGTGTCTTTTCATTTTCTCAGGGTAGAAGCCAAAATATTTGTAGTAGCCTATGACTCTTGTATCTCATTACTTCTCTGCCTCATTTCCTATTCCTTTTCTCCTCTAAATCCTCTGCTTTATTTAACCCTCTTGCTGCGCTTCACACTCTAGGCACGATCCTGTTGAAGGGATTTTACACTGCTTTCCCCCTCTGCTTGGAATGCTCTTCTCTGGTATCTGGAGGGTTAACCCCACCTCCTTCAAATTTTTGCTCCAATACCAGAGCCTACTGTGACTATGCTATTTAATATTGCAACCTAGTCTGTAACCACCACCATTTCCATCTTATCCTATTCAGCTTTATCATATAATTTACTCAGTTATGCTTACTGCTTATTGTATATCTCCACCAGTGAGAACTAGAGCAGCAAAAAGGGAGGGATCCTTGTTCAGATTTGTTCCCTTATGTATCCAAGTGTCTAGAAGAAAATACATGTTAAGTGAATAAACGCATTATTTGAACTATGTGCTTTTTGTGTCCCAGAACCATTCTTTTTTTTTTTCCATTTATTTTTATTAGTTGGGAGGCTAATTACTTTACAATATTTTAGTGGTTTTTGCCATATATTGACATGAATCAGCCATGGATTTACATATGTTCCCCATCCCGATCCCCCCTCCCTCCCCCAGAACTATTCTTAAATTTTAAAAAATGAAAAATTAAATTTGATGAAAAGGTATCTGATAGATACATGGGCAAAGGGTATCTATAGTCTGAAATAAGTTACTAAGAGCCTTGAATTTTGGATTCCTTATTTTTCAATGAGTATAATATTGTGTTGGCCAAAAAGTTCGTTTTGATTTTTCTGTAATATGGTATGAAAACCTGAACAAACTTTTCAGCTGACACAGTAAATGAGCAGCCAATAACCATGAATTAAGGGATTTCCAAGCTCCTGGGCCTATGTAAAATAAGGCCTTGAAGAACAAGTCCTATAAGCCCTTAAAAGCTATTTATCTACTTCCTCTGTGATGTTGCTTTTCCTTTTCTCTTAAGTTTGAAATGGTGAGCAGTTAAACATTGAGTATAAGAAAAAAGCTCTCTAAATATATTTATAAAGTTTTTAAAAAATTACATTGCATCAATTTTTAACAGGAATACTGACATCACAGCCAGTGAAGAGGATTTGTAAACTCAGAATGGAAGGAACTGAAAATCACTTAAAATGGGATGTTAAATGCCTGGTTTTAGTGAGACTGAATTTTGGCCTACTACCCATTAAAAAGATGGGAGTTTGTTTTCAAGTGCATAGCAGCAGTTTAGTAAACTTACATGTCTGAATGTTTGGCACAGATGCACAGTTTCCTTCTCTCCCCTCTGTGTAAAAGAACAGGAAACCTCTGTTTTAAAAAATTGTGGGTCCATGCTGTATTATCCACTTAATCCCGGTTGTCATTCCTTTTCTCTACAACATTAGCAGTTGGCTGAGAAGGCATATATTATTGGTATGGTACATATCCCATTGGCCAAACATTATAGGTGGGACACCCTTGAGGCTAACCAAACACCAAACAAGAGCTTCTCAGCACCCTGAGGCTAACTGATGCGGGTGAGGTCTGCCCCTGGGGAGCTGGCCCGGATCCTGGGGATGACCTCCGTGTCACCCTCACGGTCACGCGGCTTCTCCTTCAACTCTCCTCCTGCTCTCACACCTGGAGCAGGGAGGAGGAAGAGGTTTACTGCTGGCCTGAAAAATGGCAAGATAACCTGTGTCACTTTAACACATGAAGCATAATTTCACAAAACGCAGAGTGAAAATACTGGCTACAGACTATTCACGTTAGTATATGTATTCTGCTGTTATCACATTTGAATCTCTTTGAAAACCCCAAGATAGTCCTATGTATCATACAGCTGTTCCTTGTACAGTGTCTGCTTCTCTGTAAGGCTACCTGTGATTTGCATCAGAAAGTCTGAAGTTGCTCTTAGTTGCAAAAAATGAGCAAACTAGATAAACTTGCATTTCAATTTATAAAAGTTAACTGTAGTCAGAATAAGCCAAGTAAAATTCCTATCCCTAGAAGCTGGCTAAAGGAGCTAATATTCACTTTTAGGGCTTTCTCAGTACTTTACTTTTAGAACACTGATTATCATGTCAGTTCTTTTCATTGCTATACTTACATGTATTTCTCACACTTTGTGCCACTGTGTTTATCTTAGAACCAAAGAATCTGGGAAAAGATTCAAGTCTTTTGAATGTGGATTTCCTTAAACCTCAAGTTTCCTAGATTTGAGTATGTAGAATCAGCTGGAATCTGGTATGCTCACTAATGCAAAACCACAGGTTTATGTCATATATCTGTGTAAGCATGTTGTATTTGTATGTGGAGATATAAAATTATCATCCTACCTTACTTAACTAATTGTAACGTAAAATATAATTTTTCTTCTCTTCCCTTAAATCGAGTAAGTCACTTGTTGACTTCCCCCCTGAGGTCAGTAAGTATCATCAGTGCTGCCCTATGAAGTTGATTTTTGAATATTTACCTGAACATTTACCTGCAACAGCCTACTGGACTCTTTAACTTGGAATACTATTTCCAGGTCTCACTATTTGTAAATCTAGCTATTCTCCACCCCCTCTAATAAACTGTTGAAGTAAAATGGCAGAGTGGTTTCCCTTCCCACAGGAGACTGTCGAGATTACTTATTCCTCTTTATCTGTTAGTGTTTTGAGAACGCTGTGCTGTGCTTAGTTGCTCAGTCGTGTCCGACTCTTTGAGATCCCACGTTCTGCAGCCCACCGGGCTCCTCTGTCCATGGCAATTCTTCAGGCAAGGATACTGGAGTGGATTGCCATGCCCTCCTCCAGGGGATCTTCCCAACCCAGGGATCGAACCTAGGACTCCCGTATTGCAGGCAGATTCTTTACTGACTGAGCCACCAGGGAAGCCCAGGAATACTGGCGTGGGCAGTGTATCCCTTCTCCAGGGGGTCTTCCTGACCCAGGGATTCAACCGGGGTCTCCTGCATTGCAGGCGGATTCTCTACCAGCTGAGTTACCAGGGAAGTCCTTGAGAATGCTAACTGTATGACAATGTTCCAGTACAATTTTTTGGCATTATATACATTGGCAATTTTCTGTACATAAACTATTCTCTTTATGCCTTAGAATCAGTGTCAGTCACTAGAAAAAAACATAATTTAAGGAATAAATCCTGTTTCTTTGAGTGAAGTATTACTAAAACCCTTCCTTATGGGGAGGTTACCCCTGGATTATAGTACTAGAGATGGATGGGCCATAAATACCTAAGTGAAAGCCATTGCTTTGCATTTCCCTAAGTGTAGCGTGCTTCCTGTTCTTGGATTTATCCTTTGTGCAGACCACTGAAAATCTGTGTTCGTGAGATGTTTTAGTTCTGTGCCAGTGTGGTTCTTAGACCGCCTGGGTGCTTTTGCTGCCCAATTCCTGACCTGTCTGTTGTGAGGCTCCAGGATGGTCCTTGGACTGCTCCTCCAAAGAGATGTGCTTCAAGTTGTCCTGCTGACATGCTGTGCTTCTGTCCTGCATCTTACTGCAGAATAAGAAATCTGTGTCAGATTTTGGCCTGTTGAGTCTTGCTAGTTTGACTGTTCTGCTGAACCCAAAGCACTGTGTACTATTTCTTTAAATATTTAATATGAAAGTATCACAACAACTACTAATTTTTCCTTTATTTTGCAGAAATGTGTTACAGACGAATGTTTCTTTTTTGAACGATTGGAGTCTAATAACTACAATACTTACCGGTCAAGGAAATACTCCAGTTGGTATGTGGCACTGAAACGAACTGGGCAGTATAAACTTGGACCCAAAACAGGACCTGGGCAGAAAGCTATACTTTTTCTTCCAATGTCTGCTAAGAGCTGATCTTAATGGCAGCATCTGATCTCATTTTACGTGAAGAGGTATATTTCAGAAATTTGTTAATGAAAAAAGAAAAATGTGTACAGTGATCTGCTCAGTTTGGGTAACTGTTCAGATAATCTTTTATCTAATAGTAAAATATTTAACCATTGCCATAGTTTTTATAAAAGAAAAAACACAATAACAGCAAAAATTAATGGAAAATGTATACACTTCCACTTTTTATATAGCATTTCCTTTTATCCAGTGAAACTTACTTAAAGCTACAATCTCTCATACAGTTGCTTCATTAGAAAAGAGGCTTTCACAATGTGTACAAACAAGTTTTCTTCATGGAAATTATAGACATTAGAAAATTAAAGTCATATTTAGTTATTAACCCAAATGTCCACTACTTCCTATAATATGGCACACATTAATCTACATGTAAAAACAAACATTTTAAAAACATGTACATATGAATTTAATCCATTCCTGTCATAGTTTTGTAATTGTCTGGCAGTTTCTTGTGATAGAGTTTATAGAACAAGCCTGTGTAAACTGCTGGCAGTTCTTCCATGGTCAGATCAATTTTGTCAAACCCTTCTCTGTACCCATACAGCAGCAGTCTTGCAACTCTGCTTGTGATGGGAGTTGTATTTTTAGTCTTGACTAGATCACTGAGATCCATCCACTCACACTTTAAGCATTCATGCTGGCAAAAATTTACGGTGAATGAATATGGCTTTAAGCGGCAGATAATATACATATCTGACTTCCCAAAAGCTCCCGGATGGGTGTGCTGTTGCCGAATACTCAGGAGAGATCTGAATTCTGATTTTATACCAGTCTCTTCAAAAACTTCTCTAACTGCTGTATCTCCTACATAAAAGAAAATGTACAAATCAATAAGGATTATACTTTGAGAAATTTAATCAAAGATTTTCAGATAAGGAAGCATTATTATGTAAAGGTTCAAAAGGTAAAACTTCACCCTAAGAAAATAAAGCTTGCCCTGTAAACTCTGTCCTCTGGACATCCTGAAATAACAAAGTATTTTCTTACCACTGTATAGCTAACAGCCTTTTGAAATACTGAATATTTCTTTGGCTTCTACTTGCAAGCTTACCCATCTACATATATATATTTTGGGAGTCACATATTTTTAAACTCTTCCTGTTTTATTTCCCCAAAGGTGAAAACATAGGTTGCAAAGCTGTAGTTAATATTCCTGTCTATTTTTTCATTATTATCTTGTTCCTGATTATCCATTAAAACTGCCTAAACTGATAAACATTTGAAGTAAGAAAAAGTGATCCATTCTTCTTTACAAAAGTCTGTAGAGCTGCCTAATATATAGAACTAGGAAATGATTCAAATCATCCCTGGTCTCTCCTGGGACTGTCAGGCCTCTGAAGTCATAGACCAGATTTCTTTATAACCATTTTGTTATGCTCTTCTAGTTATTCTGTCAGTGGAATCCCACCATGGTAATTTCTGGCATTTTCTTTGTTTCTTGCTGTTTCAAAGAACTTGGGATTCATTCTTCTAACACCAAAATGCTACCATCATCAGAAGTTTAAAAAAACCATGAAATTTACAGAATTTTATAATATTACCAGGGTTTTCACATTTTGTAAGGTTGATTTTTTAATAATACGCCAATTTCTAGGACAGGATTTTTATTGCCATTAACTTATTTTTGTGGCTGTTCTTTCTAAATATCCAGATGAACCGCCTACCTGGGATTTCTGTAATTTTGTGATGCTGTCATTGTCTCCCAAAGTGTTTATGAAAAGCCCTTAAAAAAGCTGCCTTCCTTGTCTATTTTCTGGGAAGTTTCACAATTGCCACAAGTATAGATTTTTGTTCAAATATCCTTTAATGCCTTCATTTTCTTGTTTGTCACGTTGTAAACTGTATTTGGCTTCTCAGTAGTCCTACTAGTGAGGAATAGGCAAGGAAGAGCAAGTAAACAAGAAATGTTTCAATGTTTTTTCTAATCACAGCTCTGGAAATAAGCACAGGAAGAGCAGTGTGTAAAATATGACATCTGTCTGCCATATTTGAATTCTATGTGAACTTCCTTTTTAATTGAGCTTTGCCAAAGATCAAATAAACATGGTTAGAAATTATATTTTTAAAAATATAGAAATATATATATGTTAAGAAAAGGAAAACTTGGCTTAAGGAAAATAATTTTTTGTTGTATTAAAAAATTTGTATCAAGTTTGTTAAAGATTGTGGAACTAGTCTTAAATTTTATATGTCACTTGCTGATCTGACTTAAAAATTGTTTAAATGTTTAAAAAGTTCTTTAAACATTTTGAAATGACCATGGGGGTCTTGTTTAGCTCTTAGTAACACTAGTCAAGAGTTGAGCATTTAGTTCCTGTGTCTAGCCTGCTTGTATGTTATTGGAAGCACAGGATGGGGCTGCTGAGTCAATCTGCCAGGCTTAGCCGTCACCACAGCAGCTGATTCAAAATCAGCATTTAATTTCAATCATGATCCATTTAATTTCAATCATGATGCCATTGGCTAGACTAAAAATTGAATGGGCAAATAAGTGTTTTTAGATCTAGAGGAACCAACCCCTTCTATATTAAGACTGAAATCTCTTCTCCAAAGGATTTTATGATGAAGTTAAAAATTTTAATTTAGATAAAGTGCTTTATTCTCTTGTATCTTTATTATTTTAAATGTACTGTAACTAAACTGTATAACAGTTTTATCGATTTGAAGAATACAGGAAAAGCCAAGAGGGTTTTGTCTTTATTTTTGCTGGTTGAAAGAAATGTTTAAAAACATCATAGTGTTTTATTTAGTTAAAGGACAATAATGAAATGGAGTTTATATTTGTTACTTCTATTTCATAATATTTAATAACAGGATTAGGTTGAAATAAAATAATAGGAAAAACGGCAGAATGTGGATTTTCCTGGTGTCTCTCCCTCACTCTGGTACACTGCTAGCTCTGAGCAGGCCCCATTGCTTTACAGACCTTTGGCTACACAGGGGGTTATCTTCCTGTCAGTGCTAATGAGATCCCCCCCCTCCACCCCCCAGAAAGGCAGCTTCTGTTTTTAACCTTATCTGTAGATACCTTTGTACTCTACTTCATTCATCTAATACTTAGCAAAGAATGAAGGATTCCAAACAAATGAGCTTCTCATTTTAACGAGTGTTTACTGCTTAAGAGCCAGTATGAACATTTACACATTTATGATGGTGGCAGTTCTATTACATACTTTCCTAAAAGCAGAGTTTAAAGAAAACAAATAATTCCTGGTTGATCTGGCTTCATCATTAAGAGTAGTCTATTACTGTACTGTTACAAAACAGAAATGTATTCTACATAGACATGGTCTTTCAGATCTCTATGTCACTTACATTTCTAGCTGCTTTCAGAGTTTTATCACTTCTGAAGCAACGCTTCAGTTTTTCCTATTCGTAGGCAATATGGTAAATGCCAGTTGCTGCTTTTTTCTGAATTCCATATGGCTGGAGGCATTAAAAACAATCTCTGACTAGGTGGGTTGTTGTGATAATCACAAATACTTTAAAAAAGTAGTGAATTTCTAGTTATATGGACTTGAAATGTTCCGGAGTACACTCAAACCTAAAGTTTATTTACCTGGTATGTAAATGTGTTTATTTAACATTAAAAAATATATCTGAAATTGAGAATATCGATGAAAACTCAAATGAAAAAAGTTACTCATTTGAGAAGGCAAGGTTCAGAAGAGGAAGTTATACAAACTTCCTATAGACTGCTGTTTGCCCAGTATGGATTAGATAAGGATGTAAAACAGACAGACTGCTATTTGCCCAGTATGGATTAGATAAGGATGTAAAACAGACACTTAACTAGTTCATATGATCTCATATCACACAAGGATAGTGTGAGATAATCAGAAGTTCTAGAATAAATGGCTTTTTCTTTCAGCACTGGCACTACTACAAAATCCTTTTATTTCAACAGAAGACCTAGGGAAGTCTAAGCTAAAGGTCAGTAAGTACCTAAAAACTAAAATCTGCTATGATATATTTGAATGTAGTGAATTTACTTATAGGGTGTTAGGAGTTGGCTCTACACTATGAATAGGGCATTTTCATCTGTGGAATATTAAAAAAAATTTCATGTATATATATACATTTAAAAATAATTTAGGACACTGCCTTTATATAAATGATGGCTAAAGAGATTAGGGGACATGTACACACTGAGGAAAAAGTCATAGAAACATAGTTAAGTATGAAATGAGTTATCTATTGATTTATTATGATAGGGACTGTGCCTGACACAATGGTTTAAGGAAGAGACAGGAAAACTCAGTTTCTACTCTCCTCGATTTCCTGTAAAATCAGTGACATAAAGAATTCTTAGCTTATTTCAAACTTCCCTATCTTAAATACTGAGCTCAGTAAATTGTTCTAGAAAATTATCTCTCATTTCAGACTTTCTCACATGAGACATGTTACCATCTGTTGGCTGACTATCCAAAATAAATAGGTAAAATTTCCATAAACAGAAGAGTTATACCCCCACTGTTCAGTAATTGCCTTTATAAATATTTCACATTTCATTTAAAAGTTTCCCCTCAACCTTGTGATAAAATGGCCAAGAATTTTTCTAATAGTTCAGTTCCAACAATTTTGCTGTGCTTAGTCACTCAGTTGTGTCCAACTCTTGTGACCCCATGGATTGTAGCCCACCAGGCTCCTCTGTCCATGGGGATTCTCCAGGCAAGAATCCTGGAGTCGGTTGCCATGCCCTCCTCCAGGGGATCTTCCCAACCAAGGGATCAAACCCAGGTCTCCCACATTGCAGGCGGATTCTTAACTGTCTGACCCACCAGGGAAACCCTCCAACAATTTTAGTCAAATTCAAAATATCCCTTAATGCTAACCTTAACTGTATATCCAAAGCTTCTCATTTTCAAATTAATCTAGAAGCAGTCCTAAGCCAGAAAACCGGTGTTATGCTCTGAATGGTATTATTTATACTAATGGAATAAACTGTAATGTTAAGAAGTTTTGCTGTTAATTTTATATCAGCACTGAATAATTTCATTGAAATTTTCTGACTTAGTCTAAACCAATTAGAAAGCTTAAAATCTCATTCTCAGCTCTAGAGCAAGAAAGTAAACACATAAATTTATTCAGCATTTTCAAGTCAATTATATAAGATACCCACCGATATCTTCTCCAGGCTCTGACAGGCCTCCTGGGAACTTCCACATATTTTTCAGCTGCAGTATTAAATCAGAAAGTAAAGTTAACACAGCTTTTGTGTTAAGACTAACATACACATACATAGAGATGCCACAGAAGCGACCCATAATTGATCAAGGTGGTTGAGAATTTATTTTTTGGTAACTGCCACCAATTTTTTTCAGCTTCCTTCCTCATTCCTCCCTTCTTTCCTCGGGAAACTGCTGACTTGTGAAATCTTTCCCATCTTTTTCTTTAGGAAATAGAAGTGGTTTTTTTACGTTAATGTGATAAATTCTGTATGAGTGAAACAGTGGGGGGAACATCTACTGAATTTGTGTAGTTAAAAATTTTTGCTGCTAGTTTATTAAAGAATACATGAATCTTACTGATGCTGCTATAAATTAGTAGAAAATATGATATAAATGTAATCATTAAAGTATGCTATTTTTAATTTTCAGTTTACTTTCTATATTGTGTGTCTAATCAGTTATATTAATCTTAAGAGTTTTCTTGTTCTCTGTGTCAATGATTTTATGTAAAAATATAACTGCCTTTCATGGGAAGTGTGAATAAAATTGATTTAAGTTTCTGGCTTTTTGTATATACCATCCATTTCCTTTTTCGGTGGGGAGGGGCAGGTAGGAAGATCTGATCTAGGACTGGAGATAAATATGAAAACTTGACTTAAAATAATTCTGCAGTAGTATGAAACAATATTCTTATGGCTGACATTATTTTTTCCTGTTAGAATTCTGTTATACCAATCCATCACTATGATAAAAACTGAAGAATTAGAAATTACAACATGCATAAAGATGCTGAGCTTAGGGCCAGTACACCTCACACTCTTCATTCATAAAACAAGCTTATGGACCTCACTGCTGTGCTTTGTGGCCCACTCATTTCTTGGACAAGAGCTCCTTAGAGAATGTGTCATTTCCCAACTATGCTAGGTTGGAGACTAGTGGCATGGTTCCCAGAGTTTCCACAGACTGTTGATTATGTGGGTACAGAATTCTGGCTTTCCACCCTTCTGTGTCTGGTTCAGACTTGAGATTAATTTATAAAGCACATTATGTTTTTTTTTTAATGTAGTGATATCTCCAAGTATATCTCAGCATTAATGCACTGTCTTTGGGGTTTCATTTTGAAATTGTTCCAGAAGCTACACTTCTATAGAAACTATGCAGACTTTTTTTTTTTTGGTCTCTAGGATGTTAAACTTCACCACTATAAATTCTACTTCTAAAAAAGAAATGTTATGAGGCAAACAAATGCTTCCCCAGAACAACAGAAATAAATTTTGAAAAAGTCTTTACCTGGACCTGATTATATGTACTTGGAAATAGTTGAGCTCACAGTTATTTCCAAGTGGTAGGCTGAGAGGCCCAAGTTTCGTGATTTGAAAAACCTGGTTAATGCTGTAGATAAAATCAGTCATTGAAGGGATAAGTCTGCCTTCGACCTTTTTTTTTCTTTACATTAAAAAATACACCCACTATCTGGGTTTAGCTATTTAAGTAATAATAATAAATACTAGATAACATATTGAATGTCCACTATGTTCCAGACACTATGCTGTGTTTTAAGAACTGTACACATTTACAGTAACCCGATGAGAAACTATTATTGTTCCCATTTTTTTTCTTTAAATTGAAGTTATAGCTGATTTACAATACTGTGTTATAGCAAAGTATATAACGTACAGCAAAGTAATTGAGTTATATACATATTTTTTCAGATTCTTTTCCATTACAGATTATTACAAGATATTGAATACTGTTCCCTGTGCTATACAGTAAATCCTTATTGCTTATTGTTTCCACTTTAGAACTGATGAAATAGTTTACCTGGAGTGACACAGCCAGTGCATAGTAAACTCATGGTTAAAATCCAGGTGACCTGATTCTAATCATCTCTTAAGAAATTTTAAAAGTTGATTTGGTATTTTCATACTAACCTTTTACCACTATTCACTTTTTCATATACTTTTTGATCTTTGCTTCAGTTCTGATTGGAACATTCTATATAAAACCAACTAGAATCTGTATCTTAGTCTGACACTCTTCCAGGGGTTGTGACTTTGAACTAACACCTACTTTGGTATCAAATGTCTATCTACCTCTTGCCTATGAGTTCCCCTATCTACCTCTTGCCTATGAGTTCCCTATCTATAATCTTCTGATTGGCATAGGATTTATTATTTTGCTAGTGATTTACTAAGAGTTTCAGTGTATTGTTCCACAGAGGAAAAACTACTGAGGAAGGAGTAAGGTTGGGCTTTGAATATTTTTTAGTTTATTATGTTTTCATCTTTGTTCTCTATCCAGTAAAAGACAAAACATCTCTCTGCATCAAGTATAAAATTCCATGACCCTTTCCCTGGTAATCTTAAAAAAGAAACTTTCCACTCCCTCTTAAAATAAATATTCTGCTCAGACATTTTTGTGCCTCTTTGCCTTCTGGGTCTTACCCAGCATTCACGTATATGACCCCTCCCTACTTTGAGTTACTGAGGTCATCTAATTCCTGAAGCATATCTGACTTTTACATACTATAAAAAGGAAATTATCCTTCTAAGTCATAAAAATGTGGATTTTAAACTATATTTAGAATAATTCCATCATATTATAATGGTGAATGTGATGATAAATTTTTCCTATATATTTGCCAATTATAAATCTGATGTTCGTGTGTGTGTGTGCACGCGCACGCAGGAGTGGCAAACAGAACAGAGTGTGGATGATGTACAGTGGTCCCATCTATCAGTGAACTGCTAAGCCTCTGTTAAGGCTATTTCAAGTGTAATTGCACTGCTTCTTTTAAAACTGTCCTGAAGAAAAACTCCTAAGTTTACTGTTTCTAGAATGGATAGAGGAACGATTCGTTTTCTGATCCTTTTTCTATTTTCCCAGTCCTATGGACGTCTTCTGTTTTCCTAAGCAAATGATTAGCTTCAAGATCTTCCCTGGGTGTGGCTGCTGAACTAGGAATTTGTGTAAACACTGCCCCCCCCCGCCCCCCAAAAACCCATTAATTTCTTTCAAGTCAGGAACTAATCTCCAGAACCTAGAACAAGGGTTCGGACTTGCTAGTCTGCTCCTTTTGGCTCTCTCGTGCTATGGGACCTTCTCATTCCTCCCTTACTCCAACTTGGTCAGATCCAGCGGCCTCATTAACTTTGATTTTCACTGTTCTAATCTGTAATGTTACTACTCTTACTTTTCAGAGTTCAAAGCCACTGTACTTAGAACATTCACTGAGTGCTAGGTTTTGGGCACAGAGAAATTTATGCACAACACAGCAGGCCAATCATTCTCTTTCTCCTTGTACTACTGTATTTTTCTTAATAACATTTACCACTTTTTATATATATTTTATTCATTATTTGTATCTCATTTAGTTGCTAAGTCATGTCCGACTCTTATGCAGCCCCGTGGACTGTTGCCTGCTAGGCTCTTCTGTCCATGGGATTTCTCAGGCAAGAATACTGGAGTGGGTTGCCATTTCCTTTTCCAGGGGATCTTCCCAACATGGGGATGGAAATGCATCTCCTGGCTTGGCAGGCGGAGTCTTGACCACTGAGCCACCAGGGGAGCCATTTGTATCTTACCTATTTGAATATAAGCTCCAGATGTAGAAACCTTGCTTTGTTCACTGATTTTTACCTAGTGCTTAAAACTCATGAACTCTGTAATTAAGTTTAGTGAAAGAATGAAAAGGTCCCTACCATTAATTCAGCTCTTGAGCACCAGATTTACAATGTCAAGTCACTGTTAGGTCTTGACAGTGATGGGGCAGGAGTAGAAGAACTGGATGGGTAGGAAGGGAGAAAGGACATGTTTAAAGTATCAATTTAGCTTTGAGTCTGAGTGTACATTTGCTCACAGTGAAGGTTAAACTTTCCTCTCTAAGACATACTTGACACTAATGCCTGGGGGGAGTGAATCACTTTTAAGAAAAACTGGCTCAGATGTCTGAAAATATGCTGATTAATTATTTATGGCTAATAGCTATCATCAGGGCTTCCCTGGTGAGTCAGACACTAAAGAATCTGCCTGCAATGCGAGACCTGGGTTTGATACCTGGATTGGGAAGATCCCCTAGAGGAGGGCATGGCGACCCATTCCAGCATTCTTGCCTAGAGAATCTCCACGGACACAGGACCTCACAGGCTACAGTCCACCGAGTCTCAGAAGAGTTGGACACGACTGAGCGACTAAGCATAGCACAGCTATCATCAACCTCAGATATGCAGATGATACCACTTTAAGGGCAGAAAGTGAAGAGGAACTAAAGAGCCTCTTGATGAAGGTGAAAGAGGAGAGTGAAAAGGCTGGCTTAAAACTCAACACTCAAAAAATGATGACCATGGCATCTGGTCCTGTCATTTCATGGCAAATAGGTGGGGAAAATGGGGAACCAGTATCAGATTTCATTTACTTGGGCTCCATAATCAATGTGGATGGTGACTGCAGCCATAAAATTAAAAGATGCTTGCTCCTTGGGAAGTATAGTTATAACAAACCTAGACAGTGTATTAAAAAGTAAAGACATCAACTTGCCAACAAAGGTCCAGATAGTCAAAGCTATGGTTTTTCCAGTAGTCATGTATGGATGTGAGAGTTGTACCATAAAGAAGGTTGAGCACTGAAGAATTGATGCTTTCAAACTGTGGTGTTGGAGAAGACTTGAGAGTCCCTTGGACAGTGAGATCAAACTACTCAATCCTAAAGGAAATCAACTGTGAACATTCTTTGGAAGGACTGATGCTGAATCTTTTAGCCACCTGATGTGAAGAGCCAACTCACCGGAAACGACCCTGATGCTGGGAAAGATTGAGGGCAAGAGAAGGGAGCAACAGAGGATGATGAGACGGTTACTGACTCAGTGGACTTAATTTGAGCAAACTCAGGGAGACAGTGAAGGACAGGAACACCTGGCATGCTGCAGTTCATGGAGTTGCAGAGAGTCAGACACGACTTAGCTACTGAACAACAGCAGCAACAATAGCTATCATGCTTAAATTCTACCT